TCCTAACACTATGGGAGGCCGAGGTGGGCGGATCACTTGAGGTCGGGAGTTTGAGACCAGCCTGGCCAACATGGCGAAACCTCGTCTCTACTAAAAAATACAAAAATTAGCCAGGCATGGTGGCATGTGCCTGTAATCCCAGCTACTTGGGAGGCTGAGGCAGGAGAATCACTTGAACCCGGGAGGTGGAGGTTGCAGTGAGCCGAGATCACACCACTGCATTCCAGCCTGGGCGACAAAAGCGAGACTCCATCTCACAAAAAGAAGAAAAATATCAGTTTTCTAAGAAATCAAGCAAGTATCTACATATTTATAGCTTTGTTGCTTCTGGCCAAGAGACCCTTGAAAAGTAGGTCACCAGTGCATAAGCAGCCTACTTACAGCATATAACCTAAACATATATATATATATATATTTTTTTTTTTTTTCCCAGAATAAAACATTCCTTGCTAAGGTGGAAAAAAAAAAGAACCAAAATACACATTTAAAAAGCAAAACAAAGCACACATTACACAAATGTAAGCACTTTGATGGTGGCCAATATACAGTCCCAGACAGTGAAAATTATTAGAATCTCTCATGATCTGTTTATTCTGCCTTTAACAAAATAATAGCTCTTATTCTATGTCTCAAGTGGTCTCATGAGAGTTGACATTAGTTCCCCATATGTAGCAAAAATATCTCAAACTACTACAAGGATGAAGTGCTACTTCTTACTAGACGCATTATATATACAAAAGGAGAAATGTTGTCCAATCACCTTTTAAAATACTGAACAGCAGAAGCTATCTAGCCACAAGAGCAGACTGTTAATTTCTAACAAGGTGTGATAAACTTGGTATCCTACTAAGTGTTTGCTAAGGAAACAGGGAACAATCACTAAAAGAACTATTTAATTGCTACTGGTACCATGCAGATTTCAGACTAAAGGGATCCTGGCCAGGAACGTGCAATCCCAGCAGGAGGGTCGCTTGAGCTCAGGAGTTCAAGACCAGCCTGGTAAGGGCAACATGGCAAAACCCTATCTCTGCCAAAAACACAAAAAAATTAGCTGGGCATGGTGGCAAGCACCTGTAGTTCTAGCTACTGGGGAGGCTGAGGGGGGAGGATGATTGCTTGAGCCTGGGATGCCAAGGTTGCAGTGAGCTGAGATCGCGCCACTGCACTCACTGCACTCCAGCCTGGATGACAGAGTGAGACCTCGTCTCAAAAAAAATAAACAAAAATGGGGGTGTGGAGAGACACTAAACTAAATCAGGACTTAATTGTTCTTTAGGCATAAAGGGAAACCAACGTGAAGAATGCTCAAAACATAGGGTATTTTAAAGAACAAAATTCTAAAGTGAGCATGTACGCTGGTATATTCTAGATAACGCTTCAACTTCTTGGATAAGACATTTCACTATTCTCAATAATCATTCCAAACAAAAATGGTTTTTGTTATGAAATAGACTAAGAAAATAATCACCTTCACACCTTCAGGATTATGATTCCTTAGGATAGCTTCAGGTTTTTTTTCTTTAGTAAATTAGTTATTTCTAAGGGGAGCTATATTAGAAACTACTACCCCAACTATCTACTGGGAGTGATGACTCTTATATTACAACTGAGTTTACAAACAGGCCAATCAAATGACACAGACACAAACTACAAATACATGCTATACCATTTTCTCTGGTCTTGACAAAAACTTCAAGTACCTTACTACTTGGGGTAATAAAGAACAAACTCAAAACCTACATCACATCACACTTAAATATATGTATCACCTTTTACTATCACTTTGTTAATCCAGTTACGTGCTATACAGGTAATCCAAACACAATCTTAAAAACCTGTACCCTAAGAAATCATGTCAGGCAGGGAAGAGAGTAACACAGGATTGACTTTCTCCTTCCTTCGCCTGGGGTTGAATTAACACATAATTTCAAATGCTAATCTTCCAGTTACACAATTTAGAGGATAAAATCAATTCCTTTTTAAATTTTCTGGTTAATATGTGCATTCGGTATATAACCTGTTAAGATATTGGTAATGTATTTAGAAGCAATATTTTCAAACACTTAGGTGAATAATGTAAGAACACATGCGAAGCCAAGGTCACTTGTTTAGCCAATATAATATACAGCTTCTTCTAGTATGCAGTTAAATGATGCAATGCATATAAAGAAAATGCCATACACACACTATGTGATCAATAAATGTTATAATTATGCCCAAAAAACCCATACAGGTATTCAAAAACAAAACAAATATATCTTTTGTTAACCTGAGTGATTTAAAGTTAAAATATTATTATTATTATTATTTTTTGAGATGGAGCCTCATTCTGTCGCCCAGGCTGGAGTGCAATGGCATGATCTCCGCTCACTGCAATCTCTGCCTCCTGGGTTCCAGCAATTCTCCTGCCTCAGCCTCCCAAATAGCTGGGACTACAGGCGCATGCCACCAAGCCCGGCTAATGTTTCTATTTTCAGTAGAGATGGGGTTTCACCATGTGAAACCCCATGTTGGGGCCGGGCGCGGTGGCTCAAGCCTGTAATCCCAGCACTTTGGGAGGCCGAGACGGGCGAATCACGAGTTCAGGAGATCGAGACCATCCTGGCTAACACGGTGAAACCCCGTCTCTACTACAAATACAAAAAAAAATTAGCCGGGCGAGGTGGCGGGCGCCTGTACTCCCAGCTACTCGGGAGGCTGAGGCGGGAGAATGGCGTGAACCCGGGAGGCGGGGCTTGCAGTGAGCTGAGATCCGGCCACTGCACTCCAGCCTGGGCAACGGAGCCAGACTCCGTCTCAAAAAAAAAAAAAAAAAAAAAAAAAGAAACCCATGTTGGTCAGGCTGGTCTTGAACTCCTGACCTCGTGATGCACCCACCTTGGCCTCCCAAAGTGCTGTGATTACAGGCCTAAGCCACCATGCCCGGCCTTATTTTTTATTATCCGGGACAGTTCATGGTTGAAACACCTTTCCCACACACAAACGTGATGTTCCTTACTTTTACGACAAACAATAGACAGGAAAGTCACCTTTTGCATATAAAAATGTTAGGCTTCTACATCATAGTAACTGACCAGATTTTCACCATGATTAAATTTTAAGATTAGTGGTCTCACAACGTAACACAATGTTGTAATAATCAACTTATTTGAGAAAAAAAGGGGGTATTCTCTTATTTCTCAACCTAATATGTATTTTTAAGACTTTAGCTGGGACTACAGGCATGTGCCACCATGCCCAGCTAATCTTTTATAATATATATTTTTTGTAGAGATGAAGTCTCGCTACAGTGCCCAGGTTGGTGTCGAACTTCTAGCCCCCAGCGATTCCTCTGCCTCGGCCTCCCCAAGTGCTGGGATTTCAGGTGTGAGCCACCATGACTGGCCCTATTTTATGAACTTCTCATAATAATCTTTATAATCTTTTCTAAAACACCTTTGAAGGGGGTGGTACTTATACCTGATTATTAGTTTGTTCAAATATAAGTAATCAAATCACTATCATGACAAAAGAAAATAATCACCGCCAGAAGAGTTAGAATTTGAGTTGGTCATACACTGTTCATCAAATGGAAATTCTAAGAGAAGCAGAGAAAACGTATGCATGAGGGAAAATGTCCAAGTGTTCTAATTACTGCACCTGTTCAAGATGCATTAGTTTAACTCAGCAAACGTAAATTCGAAGTCTCTCTATATTATCACTATTTTATAGACTTCTTGAACAACTATGACACGATCTATTGTTATCATAAAAAAAATTTAAAAAATTTTCACTAACAGATGAAACTACCAGATAAAGTACTTAGACAATGCCCTATGGGTGCAGGAGAAAGAACGCTGTATTATGAGTCAGTCCATTTAGAGTTATGAACCTCATAGCACATGGCTGGGTATATCCTTGGAAAAGTTACTCTGGGGCTAAGTTCAATTTCCTCACCTGTAAAGTTAAGACCAAATTACCTTACAGTTAAATAGGCATTTGTAAGTTTTCACAGTGTTTTGGCTTGTTGCCTCTCAGGTGAGTTTTACAGGAACCCTGATGGACGGGCAGGGAAGGTGTCACCGCCCTGTTTTATAGTTGAGGATTTCTTAACAGTTAAGAGATCACATGGAACACTGCAAAAACAGCAAAAGCATCAACACGATGAGCATGAATCCCCACATTCCTAGTCCTTCTGGGAGGCAATACTTAAGAGTGACAATCACAATGGCTGAGTGATTAAATAAGTCAATTACTGGAATAAAAGGTTTTTAAAAGACTAAACATAAAAGGAAGCAAATGAAAGTCGACCTTTCTAAAAGCATAGCAAGAATTTTCTTTTAAGTACATACATAGAAAGGTCTCTACGGGTATTCACCGTAATATTAACAGTGGTTCGCTCCGGGTGCCGGGAATACGGGTGACTTTATCTTTTTTGTTCATCTGCGTTTTCTAAAACAAACGTGAACTAGTCGATATTCCAAACAAAAACAAGCCAAAGCAATTACACGCTGGCAGACTGCATGCACGTACGTTTGAAAGCTCCAACTGTAACAACAGTGACAACTCCCAGGAACCCACCGGCATTTCAAGGACACCAGCAGGAAGCCCGGAAATCCCTAAAAACAGGTGCTAAAAGCCGCCAGCGCAACCTGACAGCCGCGACCGCAACCTGACAGCCGCGACCGCCTCTTTTCAACCTGAATTCAGGGGGAGCTGGGAGAGGAGACTAGTCTAGTTTGACAAAATCCGAATCAGAAATTCCCTCTGGCACCTCCCAGATCTCGAAGAGAAAGTGGGAGGAAAGGCTAGGGGGCGGCAGGCATTCACCATGCATGAATAGGGGGGGATGGGGAGGACGGAAGCCTCGAACTCGTGGCTGAAATGGTCCCTCCGCCCCCATCCCGGACTAGGCGCCGGCGAGAAGCAACGGGCTTGGAAGCAGGCCGCCCAGCCAAGGGGCTTTCAGACGGGGCCCAAGGATGCCCTCCCAACCCGGCAGACCCCAGCCCCCATCTTACAGGGTTTCTTGGCATCTTTGATCTTCATGGCGTCTGCCCGAGGGGAGAGGGACGGCCTCCGATCCGGAGCACTGAGAGCAGAGACTGCGACTCCGGAGGTGGCTGGGCCTCGCGGCGAGGCCCGGCCGGTTCCTCCCCTCAGGCCGGGCGGGGCCGGCCTAGGGCGGGGCGGCGGCGCCTGAGCAGATGCCCGGCCCAGGGGGCGGCCCCCCACCCCCGCGAGGGGCGACCGGGACCGAGCAAGCTGGGGAAGGCCGCCGGCCTCGCCGCTCCGGGGCCTCCCCGCAGCCGCTCCAAACAAAAGGCCCCGGTCCCGGGAGCCGCCGCCGCCGCCGCCGCCGCCGCCGCCGCACTGAGAAATAGCCCGCCCAGGCCGAACGCCCACGTGATGCGAGCCCCCCTCACTCCACTTCCGCCTGGCTGCTGGGGATTGTAGTTCTCCACGTCGTGAGGCCCCGCTCTCTGGCTGTAGTTGTGCAGGTGGACTACAAAGCCCAGGATGCATCCCGGCCCCACCTCCGAGGCCCCTCAGCTTCCGCAGATCGCCTCAGAGTGGTCCCAGCGAGAAGAGGGCCGGGTCTTAGTCACGCCAGCGAGGAGGCGACCAATGGTGACTGAGATGGGCGGGCTGGGGAAATCGGGCTCAGACCTCAGCAGGTCGCGGAAAGAGAAGAGGGCATGAACTCTTCGCGGGGATTGTCATGGCTCTTTGACCATTCTCAGACTTCCCTTTGAGGCAGGAAAGCTGGTCGTCAGGCCATGGAAAGCGCTAGAATCAGGGCTCTAGAGCCGTGCTTTAGATAGACCCTTGAGTACATTGGCGAATTAAAGTCATTCACAAAGGAATCCTCTTGCTTAATAGAGACACCTTGAATGTTAGGGTCGGAATGATGACAATAGCAGGCATAGAGGTAACATCTATTGAACGCTTTACGTCCTTGGGACTCTGCTAAGCACTTTTTGTGATTTACTTCAATTCAGGGGCCTTGTGAACCACGTGCAATTATTCATTTTATTGTCACTCATATTGAAGATGGGGCACGATCTGAGGAGTTCAATTACTTGCTGAGCATTCTTTTTGCCACCGATCCATATTCCCCTGGGGCCCTCCCGCCCAGCTCCCTCCTTCTAAAGGGAAAACCGACTCCCAGAGAAGAAAATTTAGATGCTCCAGTTCTCAGAGTAAAGCCAGGACACCCTTTCCCCTTGCCTCCTAGAGTCTTAGTCCTCCAGCTGGAATGGGAGAAGATGGCATTGGGTATCTTCTCTTGGCCTTCACTTTTGTTGCCCAGTTAGATGGCCAGGAATTCTGTGGTTTTTACAATAGTTGGATAGAGGGTTGGCAATAGAGGATTGGGCATTCCAGTCAAAGAAGCCCGCTTGCCAAAGAGCTTTACTCCTCCTTGCAGATAAGCCAAAGGATGTGAAGAAGGACAGGAGAGGACACAAACTACCATTTATTGAGTACATACTGAAAGCTGACACTTTGCAAAGTGCCTTACTTTTAAAATTAAAATTAAAATTTAATCCTCCCAACTACTTTTTGAAATACAATGATTAAAAAACTAAAAAAAACTTGCTGGGCGCAGTGGTGTGTGTCTGCAGTCCCAGCTACTTGGGAGACTAAGGTGGGAGGCCCAGGAATTTGAGGCTGTATGTGATAGAGTTTGTGAATATCAACTGTGTCAGAGACATTTATCAGAGCGCGACTCCAACTTGAAGAGGGACTGAATAAAATAAGGCGGAGATCTACTGGGCTGCATTCCCAGGAGGTTAAGGCATTCTTAGTTGCAGGATGAGAATAGGAGGTTGGCACAAGATATAGGTCACAAAGACCTTGCTGATAAAACAGCAGGCAGTAAAGAACATGGCCAAATCCCACCAAAATCAAGATAGCAATGAAAGGGACTTCTGGTCGTCTTCACTGCTGGTTATATGCTAATTATAATACATTAGCATGCTAAAAGACACTCCCGCCAGCACCCTGACAGTTTACAAATGCCATGGCAACATGGAAGTTACCCTATATGGTCTAAAAAGGGGAGGAACCCTCAGTTCCGGGAATTGTCCACCCCTTTCCTGGAAAACTCGTGAATAACCCACCCCTTGTTTAGCATATAATCAAGAAGTAACAGTAAGTATAAGCAGCTGAGCAGCCCACGCTGCTGCTCTGCCTATGGAGCAGCCATTTTTTTATTCCTTTACTTTCTTAAACATGCTTTCATTTTACTTTCTGGACTCTCCCCAAATTCTTTCTTGCACGAGATCCAAGACCCTTCTCTTGGGATCTCGATGGGGATCCCTTTCTGGTAACAACTGTACTCCAGGCTGCGTGACATAGTGAGACCCATCTCCAAAATAAAATAAAAATTTTAAAAGGTGAAGAATTCACAAAATTCAAATATTGGTCCTATCACTTGTTAACAAATTGGGCAAATTACTTCATCTCTCTAATTACTTAAAAAATTTCTTTTTATTTATTTTTTTAAGATGCAGTCTCACTCTGCTTCCCAGGTTGGAGTGCAGTGGCATGAACAAAGCTCACTGTAACCTCAAACAGCAATCTGTGGGTAGGGCGGTGGCTACACTGTAGTCTCAGCCTGCTGAGTAGCTGGGACTGTAGGCATGTGTTACCATGTCCAACTAAGTTTTTTATTTTCTGTAGAGATGGGGTCTCACTTTGCTGCCCAGGTTGGTCCTGACCTGCTGGCTGGCTTCAAGCAATCCTCTGCCTCAGCCTCCCAAGGTTTTGGGATTACAGGCGTGAGCCACTGTACCTGGCTGTCTCTCTGATTCTTGTTGAAAATAATAATGCCTGCATTTCACGGGTTTGAGATGGGGATTAAGTGAAAAATGCAAATAAGGTAACATCGAGGTCTTAATGTTTGTATTCTTACATGGTCTGAATTCAGTATTGAGAGGTGGGGCTTTTAAGAGATGATTGGGCCCTTCTCTCTTCCTCGGCGCTGCCTACGGAGGTGGCAGCCATCTCCTCCTCGAAGGCATCATGGCCGCCCTCAGACCCCTTGTGAAGCCCAAGATCGTCAAAAAAAGAACCAAGAAGTTCATCCGGCACCAGTCAGACCGATATGTCAAAATTAAGCGTAACTGGCGGAAACCCAGAGGCATTGACAACAGGGTTCATAGAAGATTCAAGGGCCAGATCTTGATGCCCAACATTGGTTACGGGAGCAACAAAAAAACAAAGCACATGCTGCCCAGTGGCTTCCGGAAGTTCCTGGTCCACAACGTCAAGGAGCTGGAAGTGCTGCTGATGTGCAACAAATCTTACTGTGCCGAGATTGCTCACAATGTTTCTTCCAAGAACCGCAAAGCCATCGTGGAAAGAGCTGCCCAGCTGGCCATCAGAGTCACCAACCCCAACGCCAGGCTGCGCAGTGAAGAAAATGAGTAGACAGCTCATGTGCACGTTTTCTGTTTAAATAAATGTAAAAACTGCCAAAAAAAAAAAAAAAAGAGATGATTGGATCGTGAGGACCCTCCCCTCATGAATGTATTAATTATTCATGGATTGATGGTTTAAGGGGTTAACGGATTAATGGATTATCACTGGACTAGTGGCTTTATTAAAAGAGGCTGAGGCCAGGTGCAGTGGCTCACACCTGTAATTCTAGCACTATGAGAGTCAAAGACAGGCGGATCGCTTGAGCCCAGGGGTTTGAGGCCAGCCTGGGAAACGTGGTGAGACCAGGCATGATGGCTCATGCCTGTAATCCCATCATTTTGGGAGCCCAGAAGTTTCAGACCAGCTCCAGCAACACAGCGTACCCAGTTTCAAATGTTCTGTTAAAAGCAATAGAAAATGGACTATGACATATGTAACATATTGTCTGGCATATATGTAGTGATCAGTAAGTGATGATTATGTTTATTATTTGAATGTTATTCTTTTTTTTTTTTTGAAATGGAGTCTCACTCTGTACCCAAGGCTGGAGTGCAGTGGCGTCATCCTGGCTCACTGCAACCTCTACCTCCTGGGTGTCAGGCCTCTGAGCCCAAGCTAAGCCATCATATCCCCAGTGACCTGCAAGTATACATCCAGATGGCCTGAAGCAACTGAAGATCCACAGAAGTGAAAATAGCCTTAACTGACATTCCACCATTGTGGTTTGTTTCTGCCCCACCCTAACTGACCAAAGTACTTTGTAATCTCCCCCACCCTTAAGAAGATTCTTTATAATTTTCCCCACCCTTGAGAATGTACTTTGTGAGATCCACCCCCTGCCCCAAAACATTGCTCTTAACTCCACCGCCTATCCCAAAAGCTATAAGGACCAATGATAATCCACCACCCTTTGCTGACTCTCTTTTCGGACTTAGCCCGCCTGCACCCATGTGAAATAAACAGCCATGTTGCTCACACAAAGCCTGTTTGGTGGTCTCTTCACATGGACGCGTGAAACACTGGGTTCAAGTGATTCTCGTGCCTCAGTCTCCCAAGTAGCCACCATGCCTGGCTAATTTTTGTATTTTTAGCAGAGATGCGGTTTTGCCATGTTGGCCAGGCTGGTCTCGAACTCCTGATCTCAAGTGATCCGCCTGCCTTGACCTTGGATTTTTATTGTTATTGTAAAGTAAAGGAAGAAAGCTTATGTATTTAGACATTTTGCCTAAGGTCATTATTTGGGATCAGACCATAGGTCTAATTAAGTAAAAGATAAGGAACCACATGGCACCAATCAGACCAGATTTTGGTTCTAGATTTTATGTTTGATTTACTATTTTGATTCCAGATTTTATGTTTGTTGTTCAGAAATTTTTTTTTTTTTTGAGAGACAAGGTCTCACTCTGTCGCCTGAGCTGAAGTGTAGTGGTGAGATCTCACTCTGTCACCCAAGCTGAAGTGTAGTGGCATGATCATAGCTCACTGCAGTCTCCAACTCCTGGGCTCAAGGGATCCTCCTGCCTCAGCCTTCTGAGTAGCTGGGACCATAGGCAGGCACCAAAACACCCAGCTAATTTTTTTATTTTTAAATTTTTTGTAGAGATGGGTTCTCACTTTGTTGCCCAGGCTGGTCTCAAACTCTTGGCTTCAAGCCATCCTCCCACCTTGACCTCCCAAAATGTTGGGGTTACAGGCATGAGCCACTTTGACTGGCCTTTCTTTCTTTATTTTTATAGAAACAACTTTCTGAGCTACCAGGAATATGACATGGCAAGTCAGAATCCTGAATGGTATACTTAACCTGCTCTTCTTCTTTTATTTCCCGTTATTACTCTGTCCCACACAGAACCCTAGATATTCTAAAATGGTCCTGTTTTCCACAATTTTACTGGATGAGAGTCATGATTTCTGATCTGACATGGCTTCAAAGAATACTCACTATCTAATATGATTTGCCTGCTGCTTCTCTAAATCTTATGGGCACACCAAGTTCTCTGACGTCAAACATATATCTTTTGGTTGTTTCTGGCTTCTCTGTGATGGTATCAGCTTGGGAGTCAAAGGGGAAGTGATACGTATGCCTTGTGATAGGCTGGCCATGGTCTGAAAGGAAGAAGAGCTAGAAATTAGAAGCCATAAAAATTTGGGTAAGTTTTGGGCACAGGCTCTTGCTAGTTTCTGTGGCCACACAGATGAGTGTACACATGGATGACTTAGCTTAAAAGTTAGGCTATACACCTGTGATATGACTAGAGTTAGTCATCTATTTGCTGTTTGTTCAAATATGAGACTACTCTTCAGTCTGTTATGCCAGAAAATCACTGAACTTTGAATAGTGAGAATTCCCCTCTCAGATCAGCCATAGAATTGCTGTGTGACCCAGGGAAAGTCCTTTTTCTCTCTGGGCTTCAAATTACCCATCTGCAAAATGAGATGACTATTGGAGACTTTTTTTTTTTCTTTTTTTCTTTTTGAGACGGAGTCTCACTCTGTCACCCAGGCTGGAGTGCAGTGGCTCGATCTAGGCTCACTGCAAGCTCTGCCTCCTGGGTTTATGCCATTTTCCTGCCTCAGCCTCCGGAGTAGCTGGGACTATAGGCGCCTGCCACCAAACCCAGCTAATTTTCTGTATTTTCAGTAGAGATGGGGTTTCACCGTGTTAGCCAAGCTGGCCTCTATCTTCTGACCTCGTGATCCGCCCGCCTTGGCCTCCCAAAGTGCTGGGATTACTGGCGTCAGCCACCGCGCCCGGCTTTTTTTTTTCTTTTTGGAGATGAAGTCTTCCTCTTGTTCCCCAGGGTGGAGTGCAGTGGCGCGATCTGGGCCCACTGCAAGCTCCTCCTCTCGGGTTCATGCCATTCTCCTGCCTCAGCCTCTGGAGTAGCTGGCATTACAGGCGCCCGCCACCACGCCCGGCTAATTTTTTGTATTTTTAGTAGAGAGGGGGTTTCACCATGTTAGCCAGATTGGTCTCGATTTCCTGACCTCGTGATCCGCCCGCCTCAGCCTCCCAAAGTGCTGGGATTACTGGCGTGAGTCACTGCGCCGGGCTTTTTTTTTGGCGGGGGCGGGGGGATGAAGTCTTCCTCTTGTTCCCCAGGCTGGAGTGCCATGGCTCAATCTCGGCTCTCTGCAACCTCCGCCTCCCAGGTTCAAGCGATTCTCCTGCCTCAGCCTCCTGGGTAGCTGGGATTACAGGGGCCTGCCACCAAGCCTGGTTAATTTTTGTGTTTTTAGTAGCGACGGGGTTTCACCTTGTTGGCCAGGCTGGTCTCAAATTCTTGACCTCAGGTGATCCGCCCGCCTCGGCCTCCCAAAGTGCTGGGATTACAGGCGTGAGCCATGCTGCCTGGCCCAGAGATTTCTTTCATCTCTACTTTTTGAGTTTCACTAAGAACCTGTTCCCTTTTCAGGACCAATGTGAAATGTGTTCAGCCATGTGTTTCCTAAAGTTTTCACCAGTGTGATTGAAACTGACAGGTCATCTTGTTTTAGTTTGTGGCCACTCTTCCTTCTGCAGCCCCCGTTGGCTTTCAGCTCCAGTCCCTCCTCCTAGCACCATCTGGTTAATTGCATTCTCTCTCTTTTCTAGCATGTCCTCAAAACCCATTCCTGGCAGAGTGAATGCGGGACCTGGGAAAGCATCTAAAGGGGCCAAGAGACTGTCTTCTTGTCTCAATATTTATTGTCTACGAAACACAATAAATCCAACCCATCATGCAAAATGATAGAGGAAACCTGACACGTCTTCATTTTGCCTTTACTGGGCGGTTATCCACAGAGACAGGTGGTGAGTTGTACCTAATGATGACTATAGGTCTCCTGGTGTGAATAAACACACACACACACACACACCCTACACATCCTTCAAAGCCCAGATGAACCTTTTAACAATGGATTCTGTCTCTAATTAAATAGAACATACTTCAGTCAGTCATTGGATCCACAAACTCAAATAAGCTAGGGGAGAACATCATGAATATTAGCATCCTCAGTCATCATCCTTGTCATCATCATCACTACCATGATAGTGGAAGCACAATTTAATTCAAAAATACAAATTAAGCTGTAACTATCTTCCAGGCAGTGGAGTACCTGCTGGGGGTGGAGAGAGGTGAAAAAGAGAGAAACAATATTTAAGTTAACAAATCAATAAACAAGAATAGGCTATAAAAAGCAATGTGAAGGAGATAATCAGGTTGATGTGCTAAAGAGTGCCTGGGGCTGTGGAAGATTGGTTGGGGATGGGGGCTTTATTTTAGATTAGATGGGCCAGCGAGGCTTGTCTCAGGAAGTGGCGTTTAAGCAGGGACCCGTGCATATTGCTGGAGAAGAGTGTGCCCGACAGCAATATGACTGGTCCTGAAGGTAGCTTTTTTTTGAAGAATAGAAGCAGCAATGTGTGAGGAGTAGAGAGTGAGGTGTAAAGTGATAGGAGATTAATCAAAGAGTTGAGCTTGCTGGCCCTTGCGGGCCACCTGAAAATTTTAAGCAAGGAGCGACTTGTCCATGAATTTAGAGGATTATTTTGGCTGCTTTGTGGAGAATGAGTGGATGGGAGAGGATATATAACTTGGAAATGAAAAGACTAACAGACTCCCATCCTTCTCAACCCACAAAGAGTCAGTCACCAAGTCTGAGGGGTTCCCGGAGCACTCCAGGAATTGTACAGGGGCTTGAATCATTATGGGAGCAGCAGAGACGGGGAGAAGTGTTGGATCAATAATTTCATTTAATAGTTGGGTGTGGTGGCATGTGCCTGTAGTCCCAGCTACTCAGAGAAGGTCAAGGCAGGAGGATCATTTGAGTCCAGCCTGGGCAATGTAGTGAGATGCCATTTCTTAAAAAAAAAAAAAAAGAAAGAAAGAAAGAGAAAAAGACAAAAGTGAGAATTTATGTTATGTCAGGTATTAGTGAAGGATGAATATTAGTAAAGCTGAAAAAGGTTTGAAGAACGTTAAAAAAAAATGAACTTCATTTAATTCACGTTTATTGAGCTCTGACAATGCACCAAGCACTGTTCCAGGGATTAGGGATATGGAGATGAATGGGACAAGACCCCTGCCCTCCT